AGCGAAAATGATTGTGGAGCACGACAATAGCTCTGATCCAATACTTTCCGTGAAAAATCCTGTAAAACTGTCAAACAGCAAAATTACTCTCTGAAGTGAGAGTAAAAAGTAAGTAACAATAAAAAGTACGGGAACAAAAAAACCATTTTTCCTGTAAAAACGTCAACCAGTGATTGCTTGACACTCTTCATGATTTTACCAGAGGAAAAAGTTCGGGCAAAATATTGCAACTTCATTCTCTACACAACTCTCCAAAAGTCGCTCTCATTTACAGGATTTTGGAGGATTTTGGAGTACGGGAACATTTTTCCTGCAACTTCCTGCAAGTTCGTGTAAAATCCTGTAAGTTCATGGAGTACTGGATCAGAGCTAATATAGTAAAAGAGCGGCAGGTGTTGGCTTTTAGGTCACGTCCTATACGAACAACTAATTTTCGAGGAGGTTACAGAGGCAGCAATAATTATAGATATCACAATAACAATTTCAGGTTTAACGGCAATTCAAATAGGCACAGCGGTAATACTAGCTATCGAAACAACAATTAGAATAGGAATAATAGTTTCAGTAATAGACGAAATAACTACAATAACAGTAACAACAGTCAGGCTTCAAGCAGTAGACATAGCAATCATACGCGTTCAAATACACGAAATTCTGCCAATGTTCGGACTTTAAACGCCAAGGCTCTTCAGGCGCGAACACTGGGGGAGCTAGACTTGAACAATTAACGACTTTTACAAAGGAAAAATCCATTTACTGCCTAAATCTCAACTATTCCGATTTCATTGAAATAAATTGTAGTGATTCTCAAAAACAATGCACTTTTTTAGTAGATTCGCAAGCAGACATTTCCCTTATAAAATTTTCCAGCCTAACAAGCAAATCCGCAATAAACAGCAATAACATTATTAATATCGCGGGCGTAACAACAGAAACGGTCCAAACCTTGTGCACACTAGATACAAACTTGGTAGTATCAGACATTTTCATTCCGCACACTCTTCACGTTGTAAATGACAGCTTTAACATTCCTTCGGACGGCATACTCGGAAAAGACTTTTTAAAAATAAACAAATGCATAATCAACTATGGAAACGATTGCATAACCATTGGTTTGGGGACAGACGGGATCAGCGTTTAAATTTTGCACGGTACTACTACCGACAGCTTAGTAATTCCACCCAGATGCGAAGTTTTTCGGTTATTTAATTTGGGTAAATCCAAAAACCCTGTTTTTGTAGACGCTCAGGAAGTTTGTAGTGGTGTTTTTACAGAAAAATGTATCGTTGACACGAAAAACACGATACTAAAACTAATAAACACTACTGACGAAGTAAAATACGTAAGGAACTTCAATATTCAAACCGAACGTTTATAAAATTAACGAAACCACATCTGATCCGAAACGCATAGAAGAACTCAAATCGATTTTAGAAAAACAAGTACCCAATTATGCTAAACATAAATTGCTTGACCTTTGCTCAAAATATTCCGACGTATTTGCCTTAAAAGCCGACCTTATGACTCTGAACAACTTTTACGAACAAAAATTGAGACTGACAGACAAAACACCAGTTTACATAAAAAACTACAGATTACCATATTCACAACGCGAAGAAATAAACAAACAAGTCGATAGTTTATTGCGAAACAATTTAATCGAGGAAAGCTACTCCAACTATAACAGTCCTTTAATTTTAGGGGCGGAAAAAGATCCAACAGGTAAAAAATCGTACCGTATGTGCGTAGACTTTAGAGCAGTAAACAAAAAACTAATTGCAGACAAATTTCCGTTAGCACGTATACACGACATTTTAGATAACCTTGGAAGAGCAAAATATTTTTCGACTCTGGATCTGTATTCTGGTTTTCACCAAATTCCATTACATAAAAATTCTAGAGATATTACATCTTTTAGCACTGATCGCGGATCTTTCCGTTGGAAGGTCTTGCCTTTTGGTCTTAATGTAGCACCTAACTCGTTTTCAAGAATGCATGATATAGCATTTTCCGGTATTTCACCTAGTCAAGCTTTTATGTATGTCGATGATGTAATAGTTATTGGATGCAGTGAGGCACACCATTTTAAAAATCTAGAAAAAGTGTTCGAAACATGCAGAAAATTCAACCTGCGACTTAACCCAAATAAATGTAATTTTCTACGATCTGAGGTAACTTTCTTACGACACAAGTGCTCAGCAAGAGGTCTACTGCCAGATGATACAGAAATAGAAGCCATTAAAAAGTACACAAAGCCATGCGATAAAGACCCAGTCCGAAGATTCGTGGCGTTTGCAAACTATTATAGACGGTTTATACCTGACTTTGCTTCTCTGGCAGCACCCTTAAATCGTTTGAGCAGAAAAAATTTAGAATTTAAATGGGATAACTACTGTGAGCAAGCTTTTGAAACACTTAAATCTTCATTGATGTCTCCTAAACTTTTACAGTATCCTGACATTAGCAAAGAATTCATAATTACAGTCGACGCATCTAAAACCGGATGCGGTGCAATTTCAAGCCAAAACCACAACGGCAACGACTTACCAATTTGTTTTGCTTCTAAGGCTTTCAATAAAGCAGAACAAGAAAAGGCAATTATCGAGCTTGAACTTCTAGCAATATATTTCGCAATCAAGCAATTTCGACCATACGTTTATCGCACACACTTTACTGTAAAATCTGATCACCGACCATTAGTTTACCTTTTTAATATGAAAGACCCGTCGTCAAAACTCTCCCGAATAAGACTGGAACTTTCGGAATACAATTTTACAATACAATATATAAAAGGCAAAACAAACGTTAGTGCGGATGCACTATCACGAATCACAATTGACGAACTTAAAGACACAACAAAACATATTTTAGCAGTAAAAACTAGATCGATGACAAAACAAAACCTAGAAATGCAACCACAGTACGAAGCAAATCACACAAATAACTCCACAGTAAAAGTTTACGACAAATTTTCTTACAATTTTTCAAAAAAAATTCCACGAATAAAAACAAAAATTACTTACGATAAAAATGATGAAATTTCAAGTATTAAAATATATGCGCATTTAAAACATAGAAAACTCGAGTTGATTAATTTTGAGGTTGTTAACAAAATAGCGAATTTAGATGAGCTACTTTTGAGGCTTCAACACCAAGCCGGCAATCCCAACATTAAAGAAATCGAATGGCAAAAAAATTATTCATTCTTTGAACAATTTTCGATTACAGACTTACAAATTAGTGGAAACAAAGTTTTAAAATCTTTACAAATTATACTAACAGACCCTGTGGAAACAATAACTGAAGACGACAAGAAACTTAAACTCATGACAATTTACCATAACGACCCGATATCAGGCGGACATTGCGGAAACAAAAAACTCTATGCAAAATTACGTACAAAATACTATTGGAAAAACATGACACGCGATATTGCTAAATTCGTAAAAAGCTGTGAGAAATGTTTATTAAACAAAGTAAAACCCAAAACTAAAGAAAATTTAGTACTAACCCCAACGCCTTGCGAACCCTTTGATGTTGCAGTTATAGACACAATAGGACCCTTGCCTGAGTCGATTAATGGCAATAGGTTCGCAGTAACCATTATATGCGACTTAAGCAAATATTTAGTAACAATAGCCACACCGGATAAAAGCGCAAAAACAGTAGCTTCTGCAATTTTTGAAAGCTTTGTTTTAACATACGGCATTATGAACACTATAAAATCCGATTTGGGCACCGAATTTTAAAATGAACTTTTTTCCGAATTAACCAAACTTTTAAAAATCCAGCACAATTTGTCGACAGCACATCACCATGAAACCGTTGGTACTGTTGAACGAAACCACCGTGTCTTTAATGAATATTTACGCGCGTATTTAAATGAAACTTGGTCCGATTGGGACGTTTATTTGAAATACTTCACATTTTTGCAAAATACAACAACAAGTTCTGTATTTGATAACAAACTTTCACCACTTGAATTAGTATTCGGTAGAAAAGCAATTTTACCAACCGAATTACAAAATGTAAAAATTGATCCGATATATAACATTGATAATTATTCGAAAGAAATCAAATACAGAATGCAAAAATCACACGCGCTTGCAAAAGAACTTATTAACAAACATAAAATTCGAAACCAAACGGTATATAACAAGACCACGCGTCCGTTAATAGTTAATTTAAATGATACGGTCTTAGTGCAAAAGGAACCACGCGATAAACATACAAACATATATGACGGTCATACGTCATAACAAATATTGACGGAGTTAACGTAACAATTTTCGACAAAATCAGAAAAAAAGAAAAAACAGTACACAAAAATAGAATCCATAAAATAAAATAAAACAAATTTTCTTATATATGTATATACGTATCTATAATTACTTTTAATTTTTCTTCTATTACAAAAATAAAAAATGTACAAAAAAACAAAACGATAATCTGAAATGTACAAATTTTCAATATCAACTCTAGCACAAAAGAAAAAAAACGAAAAAAAAACAAAATTTGATAAGTATTTATAATATATTTTTCCAAAAAACTGTATATTATGGATGTTTCAAAAAAAAAAAATGAATTGGATTGTTAAACCAAAAAGCATTTTTTATGCATTGTTAAAATCAAACTTTAAAAATTTTTCAACAAATACTATATGTATATATATATATAAAAGAAACTTGAATTTCCATTTTTTCATATTCAATTAAAAACATATTTATGTATATTAAATAAACTCATAAGTTATAGTTACCTATCAATAGCATACTTATCTTTATTTCACAATACAATACTTTGCCCATTTAACAAATATTAATAAAAATAAGTCATATTAATTAAGTAAATACAATAGCTTTTATTTAAATATTTGCCATAACTTAAATTGCTATGAACGAACGAATATAAGGGGGGGGGGGAATATTCCTCAATCAAATCCAAATTCGTTCCTTCAAAACAATTTAATTCTAAATATAAATTTTTGGGCAAGAATAATATGGCAAAATTGATCACCTTGCCAAATTCTTCTTTTCCCAAGGAGGGTGATGTAATGCGATCAAGCATACATTCTTGCAACCCTACAAATCACCTTATATGAATTCGCCCAAGGTAATAGATTACATCTAAGAATTTACGATATTAAGGAAGCAACCCTGTTGTATCTGCGAAAGCAGCTAACTTTAAGTCTTTTAGTGAAAATAAAATTAGCGGCATTATTCCGCGCACCCTCAAAGCGATCAGTTGAATTTTAATTAAATATCCAGGAATCTACTTGTCCAGGCATCCAGCCTCCCAACCAGACACCAGCTAAGTTGCCAGCAGCAACTCGGGAGTGTGCGAGACGGATTCCCGCAAAATTACAAAGTCCCGCAGCAAGCAAGCGACACAGCAGCGGAGCGCCAGGGCTCCTTATAAATGCCGGCGCAACAGCGGAGCGCTAGGGCTCCCCACAGCGCGGAGGTTGCAGGTATGCAGTACCATTCGGAAAGCCTCTTTACCAAGGCGATACTATGCTATGAAACTGCAAATACGCTATAAATATTTATAAACGCACATTAAAAAATAATCTACTTACGCAGTCTCGGGCAGCTCAAGAGGATTGCTGCAATCTCTCAGAATTTTCCTTTTAACTCCTCGGAGCTTTCTTCTTCCAATAACAGAAATGCGACAACTGCGGATGTCATTTTGCGCTCACCTAATTTTTATATAAATTAATGAAAAAAAATTAAATTTTATAAAATTGTGTCAAAAAAA